CGACCTCTGCAGCTCATCCAGAATGCAGCTGCTCGTCTGGTCTTCAACCTTCCTAAATTCTCCCACACCACGCCGCTCCTCCGCTCCCTTCACTGGCTTCCAGTAACTGCTAGCATCCACTTCAAGACACTGGTACTTGCGTACCATGCTGCGAATGGATCTGGCCCTTCCTACATCCAGGACATGGTTAAACTGTACACCCCAGCACGTGCACTCCGCTCTGCATCAGCCAAACAGCTCGCTGCACCCGCACTGCGAGGGGGACCCAAGTTCCCATCAGCAAAAAAACGTGGGTTTGCTATCCTGGCTCCAAAATGGTGGAATGAGCTCCCCATCGACATCAGGACCGCAGATATTTTGCACATCTTCCGGGGGAGACTGAAAACTCATCTCTTTCGACTCCACTTCGATCGATAGAATTACTAACAAAGAATTGCTAACAAATCACTTATATACTAATAAAGGACTGGCTTATCTAAAGCCAGTTGAGTAGCACTTGAAATGTTTTAGCTCTATGAAACCTGATGTACTTATATGATTCTGTTTTCTTCAAGTCTGTATCTTGTTGGTCGAACGCACTTATTGTAAGTCGCTTTGGATAAAAGCGTCAGCTAAATGTAATGTAATGTAATTTCACATGAATGTGCTGGGCACAAATGTTCATACAGGGTAGTTTATTTAGTTTGAAAAAAAAAAATCCAACGATTTACAGACGTCTCTTTCCCAATGTTAGTCAATGGGAAAAAGTGTTTCCGGGCCCAGCGACTGATACGGAAGTGTAGTCCCGCTGTTTGGTCACAACGAATATTTTCCTCAGAGTCCGGCGCACGACGGGACCTAATACAAAAATAAAAACCTGAATATAAATGCAGAAAGAAAATGAAATACATGTTTGAAAAGTGAACATGAAGATGAAGAGGAGGTGTTAAAGGCAAATAGATATTTTAAAACTAATGCATTACTGGATCTACTTTCCCTGCTGTTTTATTTCCTGTTATGTAGCTTAAGCATTAGCACAGTGCTGCCACTGACTGTTACATACCTCCACTCCACAGGAAGACCAACACATGAAAATGTCCAGAAACACTGGGACAGTGCAACTTAATTAGTGAATTAGTTAACTTGGATAAGTCAAATTAAACACCATGTTATGTGTTTAAAAGCTATACAATGGTATAATGAATCAAAAGGAGTTCTGTTATCGAATCTTAATATGCTGTGTTGAACAGAACGGAACAAACATGTATACCAGTTATTCAAGGCTCAATGTTCCTCAAACATCCAAGCATTAGTCTTTCTGTGGATGGGTTTCAGCGCAGCTTTATTTTTCACATGACATACTTTCTCGGTTTTTCCTTTATCTGGTTTAAGGGTATCTTTTTTTTGGTCTTTACGTCTGAGTCCTGGCGCTCAGTTGTTGCCGTGTTTCGCTGGGGCCTAACAGTATAAAATGTATGTAACATTGAAAAGGATTCATACATTATTACATTGAAGGTGACCAAATGGGTATATTTCTATGCTAACAGCAGGAGTACTTTTTCTATATATCGTCAACTAACAGATGACTATTCCATGTCTCAACAGCCAAAGACTTCATCAGGAATATGATGCATAAAAACCCCACAAGACGCTTCCTCACCGAGCAGGCACTCAGACACCCATGGTGAGTCCTCTCTGTCTGACACGCACGCATGCACGCACGCACGCACACACAGATGATCTAATGTCATTGACTTGATTGCAGGATTGCTGAAAACACAGCTAAAGACGTGGACATTTCTCAGTCTGTGTGTGAGCAGATGGAGAGAAGCTTTACCAAATCCAAATGGAAGGTGAGTCACACTTCCATTTATAACTAAAGCTTATGATGTCATATTTTAGCTTAAATTTCCCATGTCATGGCCATTTCTACTGATCATAATTCCATTGTTGAAGTCTACTAGAATAGATTTAAACTGTGCAATGTTCCAAACTCACATTGGTTTGTCATACAGCATCTCTGTATAGTATGTGTTTTCACTCTCTGTCCTAAACGGCTTGTTGGAGCTCCTGACCCCCCCCTCCCTGTGAGCCCAGTGGCCGTCTGCGAGACAGCGAAACCCAGCCCGAAACCAGCCCGAGCACACACACACACCCGCAGCCTGGCTGGGAGTTTGTGTGTGTGCTCACACACAAACTCCCAGCCTCGCAGCGTCCCGCCGTCTCAGGGAGGAGAAATCGGCGGAGCTGCAGCTGAGAAAAGATTGAGTGTGTGTCCCATCCTAGTGTTAGGAGCAGTGGACTAGCGTGTGGACTTAACGTAACGGCTCCACGGATTGGACCAATCGGTCCATTTGGGTATGGGCACGTCACTATACCCAAGAAGTAAACAATGGAAAAAGTGAAATCTCCAACGAGGCGTTCTGGGGCAGCATAGACAGGTCTTTTCTGTGTTCGAGTTTTATTCGCTACAGGGTGTACTTTGAGAGTTTGTGACTCTGCAGACCGTTTAAATGCAGAAAAAGCTTCATCACACACAAGGGGACGGGTAAGAACCGGAAAAGCATGACATGGGCCCTTTAATAAGAACGTTTGAAACATATTGCACCGATTACCAAACAGTGATAAAAGGATTATGCTAAACAAGTTTTTAATCAACATTCAAATATTTGTTTTACACCATGACAACTTAGTGCTACAATTAAGCATTATATAACTATCAGAATGTAAATAAGCAGCGCAACAAAGGGAACACATATTTGAACTTTAGTAATCTAAGGAAAAAGTTTATTGGAAATTAAAGCTTCAAATACAAGTTGACAAATGCCATAAACTCTTTATTGACACTCTACTGTGTAAAGTTTCAAACTCTATTATTGCATCTGATATTTGCTTTTATATTTAATAATGTCATTGAGACACAATAACTCTGTACTCATTTCATTTAATCTAATCTAATATAATTTTGAGGTTGAGTAAATGGTTCATGATTTAGTGACTTATTTTATATAAAACCATCCTGTTCATGACAGGCTGTCCTGACTTACAGACACGTGTTATGGCATACGTAGCAGCGGTGTAACTCTCTCTTTGTATTTCACGTTTCCCACAGCAAGCCTTCCACGCAGCCTCAGTGGTTCACCACATGAAGAAACTGCAGTCGTCCCTTTCCGAGCCCCTCCCCCTAGATCCCTGCAGCCTTGAGGCCCTGGACCCGAACGGGAACCTGTTCCCGGGGGCCGGCAGTCCGTCCTGCAGCAGTGCTGAGGAGTCCAGAGAGGGCAAAGACTTCCTCTCAGAGACTGACGCTGCTTTCAGGCCCTCCAAGAGGTGGGAGCTGTTCCAGAGCCAGACAAATGTTGATATTGCAGTAACTGTATTTGTGTCAGGGGTCTGGGTTCGAACAGTGACATATCGTCTATGATTATCTATAAATCTTTCCAAATTGTGGTGTGTTGCAGTGTGGACAAAGTGTCTCAGAGGAAGAACCCGCCCATTCAGTCTGGAGTGTGTTCTTTCATGTGATTGGCTGCCTAACCAAGATGAATCCCATGCAGGTAAAGAGTCATCGCTCTTGTTCAGAATAAAGATGTTAGTTAAATTACTCTTTAAAAACAACTTGTTCATATTAATAACTGATTTTCAAAAATGTGTGTTTTTTTGTTGGAATTGAAGCCACTCATTTCGTGGTATGAAGATGTTGACACTCAGCTTTTTCCTCTCTGCTGCGGTTTACACACATGGAGTATCTGCACTATAAAAAACACTTTCACAAGCAAGGCCTGTTTATAAGGAGAAGGAACAGAAACAACAGGAATTCATCATTTAGAATTCATACAATTTGTGTTACGCTGATTGTATTTATTTTTCTGTATATAACTGTAAATATGTCACTAAATACCATCAAAATGTATTTGTTTGGAAAAGATTCATGTGAGATATGCAAACGTATTACGGGTTCTATTTGACTGACGTGGCTGCTATGAAATGTAACAGCGTATTTTTATAAACTGAAACTTCAGAGTCATGTTGTTTGTGTGCTCTGTATCTTTTCTAATAGGCTATTCCTAATGCACTGTATATTCACCATACACTTACAGAATGTATGAGTGTACCTTTAACTTTTAAACATTGCAAAGGAGATTTTAGGGAAAGTATTGTTATGTTCAATTCATGCTGGATTATAATTCTGATTTCCATTTTACAAAAAGATGGTTTATTTGATTTATGAGATGAAACTTTGATTTCAGTGATATGTAAATGATCTGCTGTCTTGTTAAACAACTGAACTCATCAAGTGCCACACTCTGGAGGAAATATCTATCACCACTAGTGATGTCATGGAGTATTCTAAATGAACACATGTAGTGACATTCTGTTTGTGGTATTTATAGGTATGTAGTACTTGTATCTAGTACCATCTCCCATGAAGCTCCAACGCATGCATCAAAGTCATAAACACCTTTATTTAAATACTACAGATTCTGCACAAACAACAGATGCAATACAAAGAATAAATAAGTTAACATTCACCCTTTTTCCGTTTTGTATTATTCAAATACAATAATTGTGGTGCAATGTTCACAGTGGAGAGTATTGCTGCTGACAAATAAATCCTATTTGTGTTTATAAATCCTATTTGGGTTTGCTCTTCGCTCTCATAAAAACAGAAGTTGTGTTTTCTTTTCAAATAAAGTGCTAAATGATGAAAATGAAACTGATGGACTCAAAATATCACTATGTGTTTGACCAAATATTGAAATGCACCTACATAATGTCATAATACTGGTACTTTTAAAAGTATTTACACACATTCTGAGTTAAATAAATGGAACCCTCACTATTGTTACATTGGCACTGTTACTTACTATGGTCTTTAATGTTCAATAGAGTTATTTTGGGATAAAGAGTACTCAGTTATGTGTCTTCCTGAACCCTCTTTCTGCCCCCTCCTTCTATCACATTCAACTCCAGATAATCACGTCCTACATTTCCCACAATTCATTGAACTGCCCTGGATAATGTTATAGACAGGAGTTATAGCAATGTTCAAAAGGAAAGAAGTGACAGCTTTCTTCCTGACAGTAGAAGCAGTGTGTGTGTGTGTGTGTGGGGGGGCGCCTGCGGGCCGCCTGCGGGCCTCTCAGCCATGGCAGATGGCAGATTTCCGACGAAGCTTTTCCAAAAGATCTTTAAGCTTGACATCCAGCCCTTCAAGCTGTGAGGACTTCTGTAGGATCTCGTCCTGCAGCGACCTGAGGGACTCGGCTTTACCTGAACAAAAGAAAGTAGAGGAAGTGACTGAGGGTGTGATCAAACACTGCAGGAACAACTTAAGTCAAAGTACAAATACTACTGTCTCCCTTGGTATTATGTCATTGTCTGTGCCTTGCTTTGTAAAACACGTCTGGTGTCTATATGTGACAATGTTTTTGTCGTCACATGTTCTCTAATAATTCTGAATAATAAAAGTGTAATTCTAGTTTCAAAAGTAACTCGTTATGAAAATTGGATCTTTTCACAGTATCATATAAATATGATTATTATATTATCCTGTTTTTAAACATGTACTGTACTTTGTCAATGTGCACCAAGTCTAGATAAATGTAAATGATAAATGAAATACTGCGTAGATTAGTAGTACAGCACAGTATCGTACCATATCATCATATTATGTGTTTTCATTTGTCCAAAGTAACCTGTAACTATGAGTGTTCAAATGAATTTAGTGGATCTTTACAGAATAGAGTAGGACATTTGGTTTTCTAAAAGTTTGTGTACAGTGGAAGTATAAAGTAGCATAAAATGGAAAAACTAAAAAAAGTACAAATACGTTTATTTCCGGCAATATCCAGAAGGCCAAAAGTGAGACTTAGGGACAAACTGCATGTAGATCAGTCCTTACTTATAACCTCTTCGAATCAGAGGGGAGAGTTTGGGTGTATTTATCAAGCATCTCACATTCACCCGGTGAAATGACCTTCAGCTTAATGGTGAAACGTTTCAAATCCTCCCTCAGCAGACAGGAAGACTTATTTATAAAGTGTTCTTATTTGAGAGTGACTAACATTACTAAAAGGTTAATGAAATCAAAAGTTGAACCACTCACTTTGTGGTTTGGTGCGCTGCATTACCAGAGGTGAAAGAAGTACTCAGATTTACTTGAGTAAACGTAGAAATACTATGGTCTTAAAATACTCTGTTACAAGTAAATGTGCGAAATGTTACTTAGGTAGAAGCACAGAAACAATATGTACCGGTACTTACAGTATCAAAAGTAAAAGTCCTTTCACAATATTCTATTTTTGATATCATATTTAATATCCTGTTTTTATCACTAACAAATACATATCAGGGCATTTCAATGTTGTAGTTTGTCAATATGAAGCCAATTTAAGATACGTAAAATGAAAATACTGGTTTGAATTGGTAGTGCAGTACTGCATCATATCATATAAGCAAATCACATGTTTTAATATGTTAAGTAAACTGTTACTATTAGTGTTAAATACATGTAGTGGAGTGAAAGTACAATCTTTGCTTCCAAAATGTAGCGGGGTAGAATAATAAAGTGTCATTAAATGGAAATGCTCAAGTAAAGTACAAGTATGTAACCTAATACAGTTATGTGAAATGTGTTGACATTAAACATTTAATTGAAGTTTTTTCAGTTTACTTTAGCATGGTACTTGAGTAAATTTACTTGTACTTTCCAGCACTCTACAGTACCTTCCAGAGCCTCGGTCATGGTGTTGGTGGTGTTGGCCAGTTCTCCAGCATCCTGCTTTAACTTGGCAAGCCTGTCCCCCACGGGCCCCGCCCCCCCCTCCGGGCCCTTGGCCGCAGCCTTTTCCTTCAGCTGCTGCAGCTTCTCCTCCAAAGGCACCAGGTCCTACAAACACACACACAGAAACACACAAATATTTGAATTCTCCAACAATACCCAGCAACAATAACAGCGTTCCTAAATGTTTCAACAAATTCCTTACCGGGAAAGTCTTAATGACGTACCCTGACAGCAGACATTTGCAAATGAAAAAAACCCGTTTCAGCTCATTTCAGGATTTATAGTACATTACTCATTGGTGGAAAGTGACTTTGTATATATGAGGTACTTATATTTAAATTGAGTATTTCCTTTTCCTGCTACTTCATACTTCTACTCCACTACAATTTGGAAAATAAACATTCTACTCTTTACTCCGCTACATTTATTTGAAAATATTAGTTACTTTGTAGGTACAACATTTTATTACAAAAATGTAATGTAATGTAAAATATCTGCTGTAAATTGTATTGTAAAGTTAATAGATCATTCATTGGAATCCAGTGATAACATATATATTATTGTTTCTACAGTGGTATTGTAACTTTGACCTAAGAGTAAGAGCTGAGGACTCTTCCGCCGCTGACGTTGATACGAATGTAAGTGGTGTGACCAAGTATTTGAGACACTTGAGTTTAGTAGAATAAAGAAAGCCAACAGCTATAACCTCAACCCCAGATGGTTCTAGGTCCTCTTTGTTAACTTAAAGGTTTATTTAAAAAAAGGCAGAGCAGGTCCCCCACCTCTTCAGCAGCATCTGCCTCATCTTGAGCCTTTTCTGCGTCTTCCTGTGCATCCTCAGCCAGCTGGCCTCCGTTCTTCAGCAGCTCTTTAAGCTCGTCCAGCTGAGGCTTCATCGGCTTTATCAGTTTTGACACATCATCCAGAGTCTTATCCGCCGGGATCAGCTGCTCTTTGGTCTGCATGAAGAGAACCACCAAAGCTCAGTCATTCTTTCTTTGGACTGAATGTGCCCAACGTCAGCTACGTTTGATGTGTCCTACCTTGTTAAGGTTGTCGCTCAGGTTCTCTATGAGATCCATGCTGTTCTGCAGTTTGACATCCAGGTCAGCGAGGGAGCCCTCCTCCGAGACGATGCCTTCCAGCAAATCATCCACACCGTCCTTTACTCCTAGTGCCGTATCCCTGTAGTCAGAGAGAGAACTTTGACATCAACCTGACATAAATCATCACAAAAAGACACAGCAGAGCATCCTGGGGAAGAGAGGAAGGAGGCCCCTGTATTTCTACATTTTGATTTAAATTGTATTCCTGATAAAAACTATAGGGGCAACTTTCGATTAAGTCTTAAATGTTAATTATCTCAGTCTTAGTAACAGGATAATAAGATCTGTGTGTGCCATTTTGGAATTTGGATTTGTTATCCTAAACTCAACGTAACTAGAACAGATGTGATGCTAGAAAAAAAAGGACAATCTTACAACATTTGACTTGAAAATACTATATCTATAATGTATCGTACAAAATGATTGTGGTTTAAAAATGTCAACATCTTGATTAATGTTTTCAACCTGTTTAATGATATATATTCTGTGATGTAACACTACATGTCCTTGTTAATAATTGCATTATTCATTTAGGCTAAAATCTGTAGTTTTTCCACCTTGGCCTTTTTATACGTATATTTTATTAAACAGACTGAAGCGTCAGCAGTGTGCTCCTGAAGGTTGAAGCCCACCTGGCATCCTTGGCTTCCTGCAGCAGTTTCCTGGCTGTCTCCAGCTGTGGCTCCGCCTCCTTCAGCACGGCCGTGCTGTCAGGCAGGTTGGCGGCCAGGTCCTTCAGCTCCTTGAGCTTCCTCTTCAGAGCATCCAGACTGAGAGGTAATTTGGCTTTCAGGATCCAGTCGCTCACCTCCTGGATGTGGGTCAGGTTGGAGGAAGGGTCTGCACAGAGAACAACAGAAACAGCTTAGCCAATTAGTACTGGAACCAGGAGAGCCTGAACCTCAGACAGTTACAGCGGCTGTCCAGCTCTATATTGGAGCTAAGTGTAGAAATAAGCAGCAGCCTTCGCACCAATGAAGAAGTTGTAGCAGTGTGTTAGTCGGGTGCTATGGAAGCAATGCGAGAGATTTGTCTGTCTGTGTTGTTTTAAAACGTGTGTCATAACGGATCCCTTGTCTTTTACCTGCATCTCCCAATGGGAACAAAGGAATAACCTGAACCTGGAATCTTCTTTCCATATATCAGGGGAGGGGGTCAGATGTACTGTATGTGTTGGGCCACCAGCCTCCTCTCGCTATATTGTGCACCACAACAATGTTTACCTGATAGGAAATCCTTGAGATCGTTCACAACATCACGTGTCTCCTTCAAGTCGTCTTCTAGATCTTCTCTGGCCTGCTTCATCTTATTGGAAAGCTTCTCTGCAGTCAGTCTCACCTGATTGGTGTTTTCCTGTGCATCCTGGAGCTGTAAGGGATTGATGTTGTGTTATACAATGCCTATAGAATCTGAAAACATTGCTTGTAAAACCGGAGCAGAGGTGTTGGAGTGTGTGTGAACCTTCTCTGCAGCATCGGTGATCTTCCCAGAGAGCCGGTCCAGTCGCTCCTTCACATCCTTCACATCAGCGTCGGCCCTCTTGCTGAGCGGCAGGGCGCCCACACACTTTTCGCCCTTTTTACAAGGTGGGGTTCCCTCCGGAGGACACAAGTCTTCACCCTCACACTTCAGAGGGGTGCAGGGCTCTGAGCGGACACTGCCACATACCTGAGAATATAGGAGCCATGGTCTCATTGTAGGAAAAAGCCATCAAACAGGTGTTGATACAATTCTCAATGAATGCAAAAGTAATCAACCAGTATCTTCAAAGCTGTAGTTTTGATAATGCTCAGTGATGGATAGTAACAAAGTAGTATTAGTATTAAGTGGTAATTAAGTACAATTCTGAGTTACTTGTACTTTACCTGAGTATTTTCAGTTTATGCTACTTTTTACTTGCATTCCACTACATTTTAGAAGCCAATATTATACTTTTTGCATCACCACATTTATTTGACAGCTTTTGTTACTAGTTACTTTTTAGGTTTACTGTAGATAATTAGGTAATAAGAAATCTTATTAAATAAACTGATATATATTTCTTGTTAAAGATATCCAACAGCATATACAGTTATTTGAATTAGCTCTACATCACATACCAGTTGTTATACAAATAAATCAATAATCATAATAGTAACCCATTAACTCA